AAACTCAGAAGTAGGACATGTTGAAATCCATTAATTAGGAGCCAAAGCAGATCCTGGTTTTCACAGGACTACATTCATATTATCTCTGCTTTCCTAATATTTTGCCCAGGGATGTTATTTTAACTAGTATTAATAATAACTATGCCATGTGTCAAGTATACTACTCAACACTTTACTATAGTAAACTTTACTCTTCATAGTGTCCTAGACAGCATGCAGTGAATGCATTGAGGAACAGATTAGTTAAAATTCAGCCCAATGTTAAGTAAGAGTGGGGTAGGTTTTCAAACCAGATTTGCTCTTCTATTTCCTTTTACCCTTTATTGCTCAGCCTGGCTTACTGGCCAGAGCAAAAGAAATACAAAGAAATACAAAATTTTTTAACACTCCCAGAATGAGTCAAACCTACATTTTAACAAGATCCCACAAATAATTTGTGTGCATTGCAAAATTGAGAAGCACTATATTACTCTCTCATTAAAAGATACCTTGAGTTTTAAAAATAATTTTTAAGAATGATTCCTAGTTTGACTTATGATTTATCTGTTAACATTTTTTTTCTCACAGGAGGGAAAAATACTGTACTAGTCAGTATTTCTGCTACTTCAAATTAGCTTGCTGCTTTGGTTTAGATTCTGTTTTAATCCAGAGGAACAATTGACTAATTTGCCTTTGGACATTTGGTCAAAGTCTCACCAGGCCAAGGATAGTGCAGTGTTTTAACAGCCTTTCTTCATGGATCCAACATGCCCGATTTACGGTCTGTGGCCTCATTTGGAATAGGCATTTCCCAAATGAAAGAAAAATGCTAAAAATAGCACTTTCTAAGGAAACTTGATTTTTGGAGGCATAAGGCTAGGATTTGGTGTTTTGGAACCATAGCTCTGTAAATAAGGACTTCCATACGCTTCCTTTTGTGAACACAGTAATTCTATTACAGGGACGTTGATAGAGGAAAAGGAACAAGGATAGACATTATAACAACACTGTCCTTTAGAAGTATAAAGTCAGACACGTGTAATTTAAAATCTTCTAGCAGCTACAATAAGGAAAAAGAAACAAATGAAATGAATTTGAAAATTTATTTTATTTAACAGGGTAATATCTATACGCATACAAGGAAGTCCAGTGAATACCACTATCATTCAAATATATGCACCAACAACCAGAGCCAAGTAAGAGGAGATAGAAGATTTTTACCAACTTTTACAATCGGAGATTGATCGAACATGCAACCAAGATGCATTGATAATAATGGGTGACTGGAA